AGTGCCAGAACAGGTTGTATGCTCTTCAAGCTTACCAGGATCAGGAAGGTTCTCCTGATATATTCACTGGTACGTTACGAGTCCTTGACCTAGATGTTTATGTGTTATTATATCTAAGGGCTAATCTCTCCTTTATTACTCCTTACATAGTAGTCCAATTCAAAGTTAGTCCAGAAACTCGCTTAGAACCTTTCTCAGTCTCTACTCTAGTTGGTGACCTAGTTATAGCTAGACGTGTATATAAAAATTTCTTTTAACAATCTCTCAGAAAGTAACCTCATCAAATATTGTATAGTTAGAAATGGTAAACTTCGATATCATTCTAGGTGTGAATTAGTTACAATCCTATTATGTCTCAGTTAATTCTAGAACTAGGAGTGTTCATTTTTAGTTTCCAAACAAACCAATCTTAGAATGGAAGGGTCGTAGTTTATTGCCTATGGGTCGATTTAGTTCTTACTTTAAGGCTATAAAAATGATCTCTAAGGGTTATCTCTATCGTCTAGTTCAGGTGAAAGATTCTAGATCTTAAATCTAACTCTTGAGTTCCAGCGGTCAGTGAGTTTCCAGAAGTCTCTCTAGAAGATCTTCTCAGAGTTCCTCCCGAAAGGAAAATTGACTTTTGAACTGATCTCCTTCTAAATACCCAGCCTATTTCTATTCCTCCTTAAAGAATGGATCCAGCAAAGCTTAAGGAATTGAAAGAACAGTTGAAAAAACTTCTAGATAAGGGATTCATCACACTTAGTATTTTTCCATGGGGTGCATCGATGTCGTTTGTAAAGAAGAAAGATGGTTGTCTCAGAATGTTCATTGGCTATAGACAATTGAACAAGTTTAGAATCAAGAATAATTATCCCATCCCCATAATTGATGACTTATTTGACCAACTTTAGGGGGCTAGTCATTTCTTAAAGATAGACTTGAGATCGGGTTATTATCAGCTTAGAGTTAGAGATAGTGACGTTCCAAAAATAGCCTTCATAACTCGGTATGGTCATTATGAATTTGTAGCATGTCCTTTAGACTAACCAATGCCCATTCAGCTTTCGTGGATCTGATGAATAGAGTGTTCAAATAGTATTTGGACTGATTCGTTATCGTCTTTATTCGTGATATCCTCATTTCTCTAGGAATGAGGAACAACATGCGATTCATTTGGGAGTTGTTCTGCAGACTATCAAAGATCGCCAATTATTATCTAAGTTTAGGAAATATGAGTTCTAGTTGCATTCCTTTGCTTTTTTTGGTCACATTGTATCTAGCGAGGGGATCCGAGTGGATTTGCAGAAGATAAAAGTAGTGAACTAATGGCCCAGACCTACCTCTTCTATAGATATTCGAAGTTTCTTTGTTCTTGCGGGTTATTACAGAAGGTTTGTGGAAGGATTTTCATCCATAGCCTCCCCATTAACCAGGTTGACTCAAAAGATGGCCAAGTTTTAATAGTAAGGTGATTGTGAGAAAAGCTTTACAGAATAGAGAACTAGATTGACTACCACTTTTGTCTTGACTCTACCAGAGGGTTTAGATGGCTATGTGATTTAATGTAATGCATCTAGAGTTGGCCTAGGTTATCTGTTGATGCAATGAGATAAGGTTATAACTTATGCTTCTAGACAGCTTAAGGTTGCATGGGAAGAACTATCTAACTCATGACCTTGAGCTTGCAGCAGTTGTGTTTGCACTCAATATCTAGAGACACTACTTGTATGGTGTTTAAGTAGATGCATTCACGGACCATAAGAACCTTCAATATGTGTTCACCCAGAAAGAGTTGAATCTTTGCTATAGGAGATGATTTGAGTTCCTTAAGGATTATGATATAAGTGTGAATTACCATATTGGTAAGGTGAATGTAGTGGCAGATGCTCTTAGCATATTATCTATGGGTAGTGTAACCCATGTTGAGAAAAAAAGGAAGGAACTAGTGAAGGATGTTAACAGGCTTTCTCTCTTGGGAGTTCACCTTATGAGCATATCATACAATGGAGTAATAGTTCAGAATGGGGAAGAATCTTCTTTGGTAGTGTAGGTTAAGGAAAATCAAGACAGCCATCAAATCTTTCTTGAACTTAAGGGTGCAGTCCATAATCAGAGAGTGGAGGTTTTCTCTCAAGGGGGAGATAGTGTACTTCACTACCATGGTAGATATTGTGTTCATGTTGTGAGTAATTTAAGACAACATATTCTTACAGAAGCCCATAAATCAACAAATTTAATTCATCCAGGTAGAACTAAGGTGTACCACAATCTGCAGGAAGTCTATTGGTGGAATTACATGAAGAGGGATATAGTAGATTTTGTGAGTAAGTGCCCCAATTGTCAGCAAGTCTAGGTATAAAATAAAAAACCAGGGGGTATGACTCAAAAGATCTACATTCCTACTTGGAAGTGGAAAGTGATCAATATGTTTCATCATAGGGTTACCTCGTACTTGCAGACAGTATGACTCCATTTGGGTGATAGTTGATAGGATCACTAAGTCTTCTTGTTTTTTGGCGGTCAAGACTACAAATTTGACGGAGGAATATGCAAGATTAAGATTAATGAAATTGTGAGGTTTCATGGGGTTCCTTTGACTATCATCTAAGATTGAGATTCTCAGTTTACCACTTATTTATGGAAGTCATTTCAGAAGGGTCTTTGTACTCAGGTTAACCTTAGACAACATTTCATCATTAGACGGATGGACATGCAAAGTGTATCATTCAGATCCTAAGGAATATGTTGTGAATTGTGTGATCGATTTTAAAGGTAGGTTGAATGATCACCTTCCTCTTATTGAGTTCGGCTACATCAATAGCTACCATTCGAACATTTAGATGAACATAGGCATTGTATGGGCATAGATGTAGATATCCTTTTGGTTGGTTTGAAGTAGGTGAAACTGCTTTGATAGGACCAGATTTTGTCCATTATGCTATGGAGAAAGTACAACTCGTTAGACATACACTTACGACAGCCTAGAGTCATCAAAAATCTTATGTAGATGTAAGAAGAAGGGATCTAGAGTTCCAAGTTAATGATTGGGTTTCTAGAAAGTGTCACCTATGAAGGGGTGATGTGGTTTGGCAAGAAAGGGAAGCTCAGTCCTAGATATGTTGGTCCTTACAAGATCCTGAAAAAGGTTGCAAAGTGACTTATGAGTTAGAGGTTCTAGTAGAATTAGCAGCAGTGCGTCCGGTCTTCCACATCTCATTTTTGAAGAAATGTGTTGGTGATCCAGCCTCTGTGGTGCCATTAGAGGGTGGTGGCTGTGAAATATAGTATTTCTTATGAGGATGTACTAGTTGAGATCCTTGACCATCAGGTTAGAAGATTTAGAAACAAAAAAGTCTCTTCAGTCAAGGTTTTGTGGAGGAGTCAGTCCGTAAAGGGAGCTACTTGGGAAACACCCATGAAAGCCAAGTATGTTCACCTCTTTCCTTCCGATTCCACTCCAGCTTGAGGTAATTGTCCCTATTAAATTTTTAGTCATTCATGTGTGAATTTAGTCTTAGAATCATGTTTCCTCATTTTTAAATTGCATTTTTAGCATATTTGCATGTTTTGGAACTTAGTTCAGTCACAAATTAAGTTCTCAGTGTTTAGTTGTAGGGATTTCACACCACCCTCCATTTCGGCTAGTTTAGTCTTCATTTGAGGAAGAATGTTTCCAAGGTGGAGATAATGTAAAAACCCATATCCTACATAGACCAGAATTCAAATTTTCCAGAACTACAGGATACACCTAGGGATCGTAGTTGGACCACGGTCCATGGACCAGGTTTGTGGAAAGTTGTCTACAGAATCTCGAAGTTCCTAAACGATGGTCAGGACCTATAGACCGTAGGTAGGACCACGGTTGTGGACTAGGTCTATCGATCGTGGTCCTCAGAACCCATTCTCTTAAGCAAATGATTAAAAAACAAGACGGACCATAGGTTGGACCATGGTCTGTGGACCAAGTCCATCCATCTTGGTCTACAGACCCATTCTGTGAACCAAATGACGGCCAGGACCTATGGACCATAGGTAAGACCACGGTCCGTGGACTAGATATGCCAATCTTTGGTCCACAGACCCATTCTCAGAACCAAACGACGGCCAGGACCTATAGACTGTGGGTAGGACCACGGTCCTTGGACCAGGTCCATCGATCATTCTAACAACAGTTAAGTCGGGGGTCTTTGGTCTTTTATTATTTCGTTTAATACCTAAGCTACGTCGTTTAGACCTGAAATTATGAGGTTTTAGTAGTATAAGACTACAAACATAACTAGAACTTACTAAGTCAAATCATTAATCAACACATAGAAAATTAGAAGCAAAAAAGGAGAAAAAGATCATGAACCCTAGTTCAAGAACGCCATAAAATTCAATCATTTACAGCCTCAAAATTTAAAGATTTCTCCGTGGAATTAACAGTAGCTATGTGGGATTTCTCTAGTGGGCTCAATTCACCCATTAGGTCTCTAGTTTTCAGTCAGTTTCATGATTACCTTATTATGACTAGACCAAGGTTTTCTTGAATGTTAGAATCACTAGGTTCTTAGATAATAGAATGATCCAAATTAGATTAGTACATTAATATTCAGATAAATGCATGAATTCCAGAACCCTAGATATGTATTTCTTTAGTTCTTGAACTACACATGCTAGGTGCGATATTTTAGTTATACACTTATACATGCCTCAGTTATTAATGCATTATTCTCATATTAATTATTGCATTTTCAGTTTGCATGTTCAGTTTTAAGCTATCCAGTAGTTACAGAAATTCAGTCATAATTAGTTAACCACTTAATTTATTGGGAGTTGCATAATACGGACTTGGACTAGGGTTCAGCGTACCCGAATAGTCCGGCCATGTAAGTATGTCCCCTTTGCAGGCATCAATTTGATCATCACGCTATCATGCCTTGATACCTATGGCAAGGTATATTGGGTCCTCTCGATGAGGCGTATACATCAGACTCCACATCAAGCTCATGTGATTTTATCAAGACTCCACATGCCTTGATACCTATGGCAAGGTATACTGGGTCCTCTTGAATACACCACTGCAAGAACTGCTCGCATGTCATTGGAACATTACTTTGTTGCTCTATCCAGCTTAACAGCCTCCCCCGCATTCTCCTGGCAAAGTTGCATTGCATAAACAGATGTTTTACAGTCTCATCAGCATTCTTGCACAACACACATATCTTCTCTACTACAACTCCCCACTGAGCCAATTTGTCCACTGTTGCTAGCCTTTGATTCATCATGATCCACATTGTAAAGTAGGCTTTTGGTCTTGCTACGTTGTTGAACATAATACAAGTCAATGCTGGCCTTTGTTGATCTCCCTTCATGTGACAATAAAGTTGCCTGATCATCCCTTTGCTATTGCCATGCACTTGCTGAACCTGCTCCACAATTTTCTTTGCATTCATTACTTTTTGTTTCATCCAGCTTGCATGTTTCGTCCTCTTCCATTCTCTCTGCCCTTTTATAATGTATGCATGTATCCATTTAATCCATAGTTTATCTTCCTTGTTAGCTAAATCCCAACAAAGTTTAGCAACTGCAGCTCTATTCCACACTTTCATATTGATCAACCCCATACCTCCTTCACATTTAGGACAGCACACTTTCTCCCATGCTATCAATGCCTTTTTTGTAACAAAGTCAACCCCTCTTCTACATAGTCCTTCAATCACTTTAATTATCTTTGCAGGAATAATAAAAGTTGAGCCAGTATGACTGTACACCAAAGAACAGTCTTAATCAGTTGAGTTCTATATGCATAAGACAATTTTTTTGCTGTCCATGAATTGATTCTTTCCATGATCTTGTCAATGAGTGGATACCACTGGATTATAGTCAGCTTCTTTGTTGATAGAGGAACTCCCAAGTATTTAAAAGGTAGCTCTTCCATAGTGTAACCAAGTTGTTGAATAATTTGTTGCCTAACCTCCATTTGAACTCCACCACAGTATATGGAACTCTTTGTGAGATTTGCCTGCAGTCTAGATACTTGAGAGAACTCTGAAAAATACCTTTGAAGTATCTTGATGGACTCCAAGTCTCATCTTGAAAACAATAGTAAGTCATCTGCAAAACATAAGTGTGTAATATCCATCTTAGAACATTTAGGATGATATTTGAAGGCTTTCTCTTCTTTAAGTCCTATGAGGAGCCTACTGAGGTATTCCATTGCAATGGCAAACAAAAAGGGTGACATAGGATCCCCTTCTCTAAGACCTTTAGCTGCATCAAACCTTTGAGTAGTTTGTCCATTGACAACAATAGTATAATTCACTATTTGACACAATGCATCACCCATTGAATAAACATCTCTGGAAATCCCAAGCCTACCATTACTTGTTCTAAGAAAGGCCATTCAACTGAATCATAGGCTTTCTGTAGATCAATATTAAGCATGCTTCTAGGAGAAATATTCCTCCTAGTATAAGCCTTGACCAATTCATAAGCCATAATAATGTTATCTGCAATCTTCCTCCCTGGTATAACTCCAGCATGACTTTCACATATAACTGTATGAATAACCTCATGCATTCTTTTTGTTATCACCTTAGAAATGATTTTGTATAGAACAGTGCAACAAGCAATTGGCCTATACTCCTTTACAGTTTTAGGACTTTGAACCTTTGGAATTAGAGATACAAGAGTGCAGTTGAAGGGCTTAAACAACTTTCCTGTTGTGAAGAAGCTTTTGACAGCCTCAATAACATCCTTTTTAATGATCTTCCAAGAATGCTTAAAGAAATGTGCATTATATCCATCTATACCTGGAGGCTTGTCATTCCCAATAGACTGCAATGTTGTATAAATCTCATATTCTATTATGCCTGTGCGTAATTGAATTCTTTGCTGCTTTGATAATACAGGGCCTCTTTTCATCACCTGGGCATTTATAGCTGGAAGTTTACCTGCTGAAGATCCCATAAGACTTTTATAAAACATAACAAACTCCTGTTGAATCTCTTGGAGTTCATATAGCATCCTTCCATAAATATATAGTATACTTCTAATATGCTTCTTTTGAGTTCTCTCCTTTATCACTGAACTAAAGTATTTGTTGTTTGCATCTCCCAGTTTAATCCATCTTGCTCTTGCTTTTTGTCTTAAAGCACTTTCCTCTATCATTGACCACTTCTCCATATTTATTAGTAGCTCCTTCTCTTTAGCAACTAGCTCATCCCTTGCCTGGCTATATAGCTGCTCTTGAAGTTCTACTAGCTCACTTCTTGTCTTCTCAATCTTCTGGCCTATATATTGAAACTCTCTCCCATTCAATTGTCTCAAGACTGGCTGGAGTGCCTTTAACTTATTCCATATCTCCTTTATTACTTCACTTCCATGCTTCTGCTTCAAGAATTTATCCACCATTTCCAAAAAAGACTCATGTTCAATCCAAACATTAAAGAACTTAAAACTCACTTTGATCTGATGATAACTTTGTTGAAGTAGCAAATGCATAGGAAAGGCTAAAGAAGCAAAAATCGGTGAGGAAGGTGTTTTGAGAATTAAGGGAAGAGTATGTGTACCCCGCGTCGATGATTTGATTCACACAATTCTTACAGAGGCTCATAGTTCAAGGTATTCTATACATCCTGGTGCAACCAAGACGTATCGTGACTTAAAGCAACATTTTTGGTGGAGTAGGATGAAGCGTGACATTGTTGATTTTGTTTCCCAATGCCCGAATTGTCAGCAGGTAAAGTATGAACACCAGAGTCCTGGAGGGACACTTCAGAGAATGCCCATTCCTGAATGGAAGTGGGAGAGAATTGCAATGGACTTCGTGGTTGGTCTTCCAAAGACAATGGGTAAGTATGACTCCATTTGGGTAATTGTTGATAGGTTAACTAAGTCTACTCACTTCATTCCGGTTAAGGTGACTTACAATGCAGAGAATTTAGCCAAACTTTACATCTCAGAAATTGTTCGATTGCATGGAGTTCCACTTTCCATCATATCAGATAGAGGTACGCAGTTTACTTCTAAGTTTTGGAAAACATTGCATGCCGAATTAGGTACTAGGTTGGATCTTAGTACTGCATTTCACCCTCAGAACGATGGTCAGTCTGAGCGAACGATTCAAGTGTTGGAAGATATGCTTCGTGCATGTGTGATAGAATTTGGTGGTTATTGGGATAACTTCTTACCCTTAGTAGAGTTCTCATACAACAATAGCTATCACTCAAGTATTGATATGACCCCATTTGAGGCACTGTATGGGAGAAGATGTAGGTCTCCCATTGGGTGGTTTGATCCATTTGAGGATAGACCTTAGGGTACTGACCTTCTGAGGGAATCATTAGATAAAGTGAAATGCATTCAGGAAAAGCTTCTAGCAGCTCAAAGTAGGCAGAAAGAATATGCAGATCGAAAGGTTAGAGGCTTGGAGTTTATGGTGGGTGAGCAAGTTTTGCTGAAGGTTTCACCCATGAAAGGGGTGATGCAGTTTGGTAAGCGAGGTAAGCTTAGTCCGAGGTATATTTGTCCATTTGAAGTTCTGAAGCACGTGGGGGAGGTAGCTTATAAATTAGCCTTACCCCCTGGACTGTCAGGAGTGCATCCGGTATTTCATGTGTCTATGTTGAAAAGACACCATGGGGATGGAAACTACATCATTCGTTGGGATTCAGTTCTTCTTGATGAGAATTTGTCTTATGAGGAGGATCCTGTTGCTATTTTAGATAGAGAAGTCCGCAGGTTGAGGTCAAGGGAGATTGCATCCATCAAGGTTCAATGGAAGAATCGGCCAGTTGAAGAGTCCACTTGGGAGAAGGAGGCTGATATGCTAGAAAAATATCCACATCTCTTTACAGACTCAGGTACTCTTTCTTGCCCTTGTTTTTCTTCTCGTGATCGTTCGAGGACGAACGATGGGTAAATTGGTATCTATTGTAATGACCTATTAAGTCGTTATGGGCAGCAGAGTTTATTTCTGGTAATAGCTGTCTGGGTCGACGGATCCCACGACGGACCGTCATGGGCACGACGGACTGTCGAGGGGGTCTCGTTCTAAAACACTTAGACTCTGGAAAAATTACATACTGAGAACAACTCTCTGAACTTCGCGACGGAAGAGCAGGACGGACCGTCGTAGGCACGACGGACCGTCACAGACTCTTTAATGAATTCGACTCTCTGAACTTTGTGACGGAAGCAGCAGGACGGACCGTCGGGCACGATGGGCCGTCACAGGCTGCATAACCCTGACTGGGTCGGATTTCTGTTAAAAGTTTTAAGGGGTGTTTTGGACTATTCCTGCTTATGATTATAAAGTTAGTGGTTTAATGTTAATAATTTAATTACTTGGGGGTTAAAGGAGATAACTTTGAAATAAATAATGGGTTACTTTTACCATCTTTTATACCTAATTATATGATAATTCGGGTAAAAGAAAAAGCGTTTGAATAAGGAAAAATAGAAAGAACAGAAGAGAGGGACGAACGAGTGAGAGAAGAGAGAACGAAGAGGAAAGCAAAGACCTTGAGTAGTAGCTTGCGTGATCACGAATTCTTCGGTGGAGGTAGGTTATGGATTATGCTATCTCATAGTAAACTCTAAATAGCGATTGATATGTATTGGGTAGTATTGTAAAGTCTTCTATATGCTTAATTGTGTGGTTGCATGATGTGATTATATATTGTGATAAAATAAGCATGATGAGGCTGTTGAATCTTAAACCTTAAAACCTCTTTGTTAACGATGACGTCTTGGCATAAAGGAAGGTTGATGAACTGGAAATTAATGAGATTAGCGGATCGAGTGTCACGAACCGACACGTAGTATTAGGGGATCGGAGTGTCACGTTCCGACACCAGGATAGTAGGGGATCGGAGTGTCACGTTCCGACACCAGGATAGTACTGGATCGGAGTGTAATGTTTCGACACCAGGATAGTAAGATGAATGAATATTGAGGGGATCGGAGTGTCACGTTCCGACACCAGGATAGTAAAGAGAATGAATCTTGAATTATGCTAATATACTCAGGTTTGAAGAATCTAATTCCTAAGTGAGTATGGTGTGGAGGCTTGAATCCTCATAGATATGCCTGGGTTGTTATCAATGATCCTTGTACTTGTTGTTGTCATCTGTTAAGTATTATGGTTGATTTTATACTATTGTTCAATATATATTGATTTCTATTTTGAGTTGGCCGATGATATCTACTCAGTACTTGTGCCTTGTACTGACCCCTACTTGTATGTTTCTCTTTGTTATTTGTGGAGTGCAGCAAACGTGCCATCGTCTTCAACTCATCCTCAACTCTAGCCTGTCTTCATCACGTCAGATTTCAGGGTGAGCTATTGTTCCTAGCTCGAACTGGATTCTCTCTCATTCATGTCTTGATGTCCTTGAAGTTCGGACATGGACCATTTGTTTATTTATTTTAGCTTCCTAGATACTCTTAGATTTAGTAATTTGAGGATAGATGTTCTTGTGGTGATGACTTCCAGATTTTGGGAATAATAATTATTAAATTTTAGAAGTTATTTATTGGTTATATTAATGAGTTCAAGTCTTCCCCATTATATTCTGTTTATTATGGTTGAAATGTCAGGGTTTAGATTGGTTGGTTCGCTCACATAGTAAGATAAGAATGGGTGCCACTCGCGGCTCGTTTTGGGTCGTGACAATTATTAATATTATTGCTATTATTATAATTATTATTATTGTTGTTGTTGTTGTTGTTATTCTTATTCTTATTCTTATTCTTATTCTTATTCTTATTCTTATTATTATAATTATTATTATTATTATTATTATTATTATTATTATAATTATCATTGTTATTATCATAATTATTATAGTTATAATTATTTTATTTTTTATTAATTATTATTATTTACCACATTCCTCGTAACTGGCTGGCGGTAGTCCGCACGGCCAATTTAAGCATATGGAACCAAATGCTTCATCCAGAATCGCTTCAATGTAACTACAGGATCTTTTACGAATTGTGCAGTTTTAGGGATGAAAAATCTTTTACGGTTCCA